ATAGGAAAGTTATACAATGCAATATGATTAGTTAATATATTTGGCAACACTATCTTACCTATTAAGATGAATTACTTTTTTGACAGGAAATGAATTACAATTTAAGACAGGAATTGTTTACTCCTCCATGGCACCAGATCCCATCTAATGTTATAGTCGAGTAGTAAATGAAATACTCTACCGATTGTTTACTGAAAAAAAAAAATAGTTAAAATCTGCAAAATGTAGGCGCTTAAGTTTCCAACCCTATTCTTTTTTAAAACAATATGCGCTTCATTTTTTAAATTTTGTTTTGCTGTTAAAATGTTTTATTATGATATATGTATGTAACTTGAACCTTTATGATCAATTGGACTAAAATAAAGCAGAAGAAAGACATCTATATACAATCGAAAATCCAGGTTTATATAAAAAATCATTATTGGACAGGACGACAATAATGTAATTTTGATATATATAGATATAGTTCCTCCATCGCCAATATGAACAACAGAAGTCTGTTAACGTATACTTATTTTTTTCTGTCATTGAAATAGTTACATATATTTACAAATTTGCAGCAAAAAATTCAGACATCAAAGTTGCCGCTCATATTGCTTTAAATATGCACAAATGTCAACCTTAATTTTTGTATTGTAAATTATATTATTTTCATTATTTGTCCATTATAACTAAATCTTGCGTTTACATTTTACATTTGTAAGGTTATATAGGTCAAATGCAGTCACAATTTACAAATTGATATAGAACATTATGAAATTTTGAAATTAAAATTTCAATCTACAAATTAAGGTTAGAGTTACAAAGGGGGTTTTTGAGTCGTAACGAACATGGGATTAACAGTGAAGACGATTTTCTTTCTTTTGGGTGGTTCTGTTGTTTTTGCCATTGATGTTTCCGATAATGAATTGGACTGGATTTGTAAGGAGAGTTCTCCAAGATAAGAAGAGCATGTCTTGTCCTTACTCTTAAAAGATAATGGAATCGGGTCATCATAGCGAACATGGGATTAATAGTGACGACGATTTTCTTTCTTTTGGGTGGTTCTGTTGTTTTTGCCATTGATGTTTCCGATAATGAATTGGACTGGATTGTAAGGAGAGTTCTCCAAGAACAACAACATGATCCTAAAGTCGCTGCTTTGGAAAAAGAACTTAGTGCTGTGAAAACTGAAATGCAGCTCCTTCGAGATGTTCAATTTCAGACGCAAACAGAAATGAATACGATGAAAACAGAACTGAGAAATACTTTAGTGAAAATGAGGGAAAAGGATGATGAAAATGCCAAACTAAGGAAGGAAAATGATAAATTGCTGAAAATGGTGACTGAAGCAAAAAGTGTTCAACAATATGGTAATGGAACAGAAAACAGTTTTGAAAGTAACCATAATATTAAAAGATTTATGAGTCCCATGGCAATTGCAGGTTCTCCGATAGCTTTTTCGGGATATATGACAAATAACATTGACAATCCACACGACAATGAAATCTTCCAGTTTGATCATGTCATTGTGAATTGTGAATTCTGGAAACGGGTACAACAAACACAATGGGATGTTTACAGCGCCTGTGAAGGGGATATACGCATTCTTTGGTACTGTTCTCACCTATAGTGGAAAGAGTCTGGAGTCGGAAATTGTTCAAAATGGCAGTGGCTTTTGCCGCATATATTCTGGCGATGATAGCTTCGACGGCTCTGGCTCCAATATGGCCATAATTCAACTTGAAGTCGGCGACGTGGTTTGGATGAGGATTCACCAAACATTCCACGATGCAGGTGTTACAGTTGATGGTCCGTGGACGACTTTCTCAGGATTTCTGTTGTATGAAATGGAATGAAATATGAAATGATTATAATTATTAAAATTGTGTTTTGCTTTAACAGCCACACAATTAAATTTTATTGAAAATAAGCACTTTCGTATTATTGATGAAGTAGAAATCACTCATGTGAAGCATTTTATCATGTATCCAGGGTTGCATTGCCCAAATAAATGTTATTTCATTTATAAGGTTATATTTGGTCAATGTCGGAACGTAGTTCGAAAAAGTTTAAGAGGGCTAGGCAAGCTTCGCCCATACGACATTTTCACGCCCAAAATATCGCTCATATTTCAAAACAGTTACCATGTATTTTAAATTTTCAAGGGCATGTTTTCGAAGCATCAGTCATTATGATGCATTTTGTGTCGAATCTAATAGCAGACAGGTAAAGTAATCACTGCATCTTAATTAACATGTAATTATACCCCACGCAACAAGTTGCGGGAGGTATAATGTTTATGACCCGTCAGTCAGTCCGTCAGTCCTGTTTTTTTTTTGTCAGCGCAACTCCTCTTAAACCGCTTCACAGAATTTGGTCAAACTTTGGGACACAATGTGTAGATGTGCATATTACCAGGAAATTGGGATTCCTTTATTGTTTCCGGGAATTTCCGCACTTTTACACTTCGATTTTTTGGCCCTATCTTGAATATAGAGATGAACAGTTTGTCAGCGCAACTCCTCATAAACCGCTGCACAGAATTTCGTCAAACTTTGCAGTTATTTAGGACACAATGTGTAGATTTGCATATTACCAGGAAATTGGGATTCTTTTATTTTTCCCTGCAATTTCAGCACTTCGAATTTTTGGGGAACGTGGGGTATGTGAGCTTGCTCACTTTTTCTTTCATTTTGTAACGATATACATATTGTACCTGAAAATGTTGAAAATATATGATGAAAACACACCATTTGATTATTACAGTGTATTACTATCATTCCAATTACAGCATGTCACTTTGTTAGATTAAGCGTGCAAAAGTTTTACACGTTGATCACCACATTTCGCATTAATTTGATGTTTGATTTCAATACTGCTGTGCGTATGAAAAAGAGAATCCAGCAATACCCTTATAATACTGACCAATCCTATTGAATGATTGTTTACGAGAACGGGATTAAAATTTTAATAGAAGCCAACATAACGTGGTCAGTCAAAGCCATTGTTAGCTTCTCTGTTCATATGCAAAGTAGTATTCTTTTCATTAAAATCATACATCCAATCGTTACAAAATATTGTGATCAACGTGTCAAACTTTAATACGCTCCATTTAACAAAGTAACACGCTGTTCTTGGAATGATAGTAAATTATATACATGTATTTGCAAATACATTGTAAGCATGAAGTGCAGCAAGGAATACTCTATATATTGTTTTAAAGAGAAAATCTTCATTTTCATATATCCTGTAAATAATACGGAACACGAAAAGACAAAAGCACTGACACTTGGAAACATCGAACAAGGATCAGGTGCAAAGAAGGAATAGATATCTCCAATCGACTGGTGAACCCTGTGCTGATCATGGAGTGAAACAAAAGGTCTTTCACTATTAAAGTTAAGATTTTCAATTGTTTATGAGTTATTATTAGTCAAATGAAAATCGTAAAAAGAGAAAGACATAAATAATCCAAAGTCAACTAGATATTAAAAAACATGTGTCAGAAATATGATAGGTTGTGTGTGTTTACGAACATGTTTTTGAAATACTAGCTTTGGCGAAATTTTTTAAGCCATGCTGGCTGCTTTAAGTCATTCTGGCTGCCATATAGTAATTTTAAGTTTGCAATTAATGTCTTTAGTCAATACATATGTGGAACATTCAAATGTCCAATATATTCATATCGAAGACAATCGGTTCGTATTACCAATGGAACTCGTTCTATGATTTTTGCTGTCGCGTGTATATTTTTGCTATATCCACGTAACCGTCGTAACCTTTCATATGTGACCAATATCTGGCTTTATCTATCTGATTATTTTGCATTTTTACATACCTGCACATAGTATAAGAAACATATGGAGATAACGAACAGTATTCAAGATCAAAAGTCAATAAACAATAAAAAAAAAAAATTGGAACAGAGCAAACACGGACCTCAAAAGCAAATCCCTCCAATTCTCTGCCCCAGGCATTTGCATTTACAGCCGAAGTCTGTTTTACGACTGCTCAAAATATATATTAAAACTAGTACCTTGCTTGAAATTCTGGAAATTTTTTTCCTGTTTACACCCATATTGATTATATTAATATTTATCAAATGAATGTAATCATTTTGTTATTTATCGCTTAATGAACAGCATTTACGTTACATGTATGTGTTGTTAATTTCTGACGTTAAAAGTAAACTTATCATCCTTTACACATGTACGTGCATGGTGAGAGTGTGTTAAAAGATTTTCACGATTCAAAAATCTTTTTTGGTTCTTTGACTAACTGTAAAGCACTGCATAAATCACTGTGTCAAACCCGGTGTTGGATTTTAATGTTTCTTCGAAAAACCCCATGGAAGTCATAGAGATTATTAAATAGATAATAAAATCATATAAACTGCTTAAAAGTTGTAATACTTTATACTTTACAGATTGTCGATTTCTGGAAAAAATAAGGTAAAATTAGAAAATATTACTGTCCTCCAGTAGTGGATCAGAAAAAAACAAGAAGAAGCTTAGCTTTCGTCAATGACTTAGATTTTACAGATAAATGTGCACAAATTCTTAAATCAGGATTTATGCTTTTTTCCGCGTCAATGTCCATGTTTCACTTACTTTATATAATTTATTTTAGTCAATTCCATTTGTTAATCTCTATAAATAAGTGGGTGACAGTTCAGCTTTCATTCTAATTTTTATCCAATGAATATTGATGTGGTTATTTCTTTCACTTGACTTCTTGATGCTTTGTAAATGAATGGCAAGCTTTCGATACTGTTAGGTGTGACACCTATCTCCAATGTTGTCCAATCAATGTTTTCCAGTAGTGGTTTTCTCCAATACTTCACTAATACGTTTTTTATACAGTCGGAAAACCTCACTCGTTTTTATTTCCAAAGCTGTCAGATGAATGATCGATCCATTCAATTAAAAAAAGTGTTTGGTTTTGGAATTAAGTCTGAATTTTGAATACTGTGAGAACCGGTATGTTATAAAAGAAATTTATATATATTTTTTTCAAAAATGCATTCAAAAGATTATGAAGATATTTTTATGAAATATGATTCTTTCCAAATAACAAAGTTTATTACCGTGTACATATCACCTGTGATTCTCATTGTTGGTACTACCGGAAATATCATTGCTTTCTTTATTTTGCGAAGAAACATGTTTCGGATATCTACCTATTTCTACTTAGCTGTTCTTGCCATTGCGGATTTAATCGTATTACAATTTGGACTTCTCCGAGAATGGATCGGACACGTTTCGGATTACGATATCCAAAACATCAGCAACTTATGCTGTAAGATATTTGTTTCTTTGAACTATTTGGGAAGTGATTTTTCGGTTTGGTTAATCGTTGCAGTAACGACGGAACGCTTCATCGCTGTTTGTTTCCCTCTACGAGCAAATGTTTTGTGTAGTGTTAACAAAGCTCGTAGTGTAACAATCTCCCTACTGGGTCTTTCTTTCTGCTTAAACGCACACTTTTTGTGGACGGTTGAACTTACTGAAGTCCGTTTGAATTCAAGTAAAGTGGAAAAATGTACACCTGGAAATAAATTTGACTTTTTTCTCACTGAGGTTTGGCCTTTAGTAGACGCATTCACATATTCGTTCATTCCTACATTCATATGTTCAGTTTTGAATATTTTAATAATTCGAAGGGTGTTCATTGCTAGGAAATATAGAGGTCGCTACCAAAAATGTAGTTCGGGAAGAAATAATTCAAACAACAAATCGTTACCCTCGGAAAGGACGATAAAACTCACCAAAATGCTTTTAGCAGTTTCTTTAACCTTTGTGTTAACGACACTGCCTAACAGTATTTGCATTGTTGTTCAAAATTACTGGGAACTGGATTATAGCAAGGATGTCCTTCGTCAGATTTCAAATCTTGTTTTAACTAGAACTATCACCGGACATCTCATGTACATTAACCATTCTGTTAACTTTTTCCTGTACTGTGCCACAGGAAAAAAATTCAGAAAGAACATGGAGCGAGTTCTTTGTAAATTACGCCAAACATCGAATCGTTCTTTGTCGGATAGTAACATCCCACATCTAATGAGCAGAGTAAGCTATACAACAGGTAGACTCAGTGTCAATCTGGTCGTATTTGATACCAAACTTTTACACAGAAGAACAACGAGACTATGATGAAGAAAATTAATCAATTTCTTTTAGATAACATACTCAGTAATTTTGTTCTAATTGTTTCTTAATCAAAGCAACGCACATTTTTGTGTCTTTTATTTGAATAAAAAAAAATTATATTCGAATCTCCAGTGCTTTGCATTCATGTCATAAAAACATTTTAACAGGAAAAAATATCACTTGCATTGCTTTTGATTCACGTCATTCAAAGAGGTCACAAAAGGGGTGACAAACTAGATCATTTTACGGACTATCCTCAATTCTGGCGGAATTTTGTCAATTTTGAGATACTTTTTACTTTCTTAAACATGAAGCTCAAACTTCCCTTTGTAAGAATTTCATATCTAAGATTTATCTGATACTAGTGTACATGTATGAAATATATAAATTAATTTTGTAAGATAAGACAAGCGTTTGATTGGTGTTTTCTGAAGCAAAATGTGGTGTAAACTTGATAAAAATTAGAATAACAACTAAAAAAAAATTGAAAAAGAACTCGGTTCACTTTATGCATAAAACGGCCCTGTAGATATACCAATTTATTGACTAATACTTTTTATGTTCCATTTTAAACATCAAAATAAAGTAGAGACTTAGTACTTTCATTTCCTATTACAATTTTTTCTCCTTAAACGCCAGGTCTTTGAACACGGGCTTTATGGAATTGCAATGTTATTGAATTCTAATGTTAACAGGTATATTTCAGTACCTTCAGAGAATAAAATTATTATGAGCACACCTTCTGATCTAAAGAATAAAATATGTCTTGTGATCTTCAGAAACATTTCTATCATTTACTATAGTTGCTTATTTTAGATCAGAGGTTGCGCTCTACATTAAATATTGGAAAAAAGCTTTAAAAATTGCCTGTTTGTAGATAGACTTTTTCAGAATATGAGGGAATTGACCCATTTTGTGACGTCATAATGCATTTACTAGCAAGAAAATTACGTCATTTTTGATAGACATGCAATCACCAAAGGTCTAAATAATTTAATGCATTGTTAACTAAAATTAAGCAGTTTCAGTTTATCAGAAATTCACAAGGTCAAAAAAGGCCATAAGTGAACCTTGTTCTTATAAATTTTGTGACCTTCTTAGTGACCTCTGTGCGTCATGACACTTAGAATTAATATTTGTTTTATACTCGTTTTATATACTCGGTAAGAGCGTTGACAATTGGTTTAATTTTAATTTTTCTCTAGATATTACTTCGTCCCATGAGACACACAATTTAAGAATGGAGCCAAAAAGGGTCTGAATCCTTTTTTGTCCTTTCGTTACTGGTCAATGTCCTTTTCAAGATACATTTGTAGCAGCAAACGAATTCCTAGAAGGATAGGGAAATAAGTCTGTATTAAATGGAATTACTAGCTGAACAGCACGGTAAACTTAATGGATGTTAGTTCCCATAAAACAAAACATAAAATGTATCCTCAGAACGGGAAATATAAGTTATATTCTAGTGACACTATGTTTATTACTCTATAGTTGAAATATTTAATTTTTAAAAAGTTTTGTATGTCAGTTTCTGTTATAAATAATGATGCAATCTGAATTAGTTAATGTGATTTAGAACGGGTATTATTAAATTAAAAGTTTCCTGAACAAATACACGAAAAAACTGAAATATAAGTAATGTAGTAATGTGCAAAGTTGGTACTAGTTTCTTGTTACCTTTCTTCATTCTAAAAAGGGTAACAACAAAAAAATTATTAATTAACGCCTGTCTACTTTTCCACCTACTCCATATAGAATTACCCTATGAATGCTACAATATTAAAAGCAGTTATCGATGACTTCTCGTTACTGGTTAATAATACCGTAATGAATAGCTGGTGTAGGCAATTCGTGATCCCCACATTTTATCGCTTCCTCTGCCTAATAATATATATTTTGATTTTGATAGTAAACCTTTTTTTTTTTCAGGATAAACATTTATAGATTTCTTCCTCGCGTTCAACATTATTATCAAAGCTATCTTATCTTTATCGTGTTATGTTTAACGCATTTTTTTCGTATTAACAATTTACAGATGACCGCAATGATAGAAAATCAAATCAACGGATTAAGAAAAAGCATTATACTTGGGATACGAGTTTATCTTTTTTGGAGGTATTAACACCATATTTTTATTATCTCTGATGCCCACTGTTGAAATATACGATAATTGCGGCTTGTTCTCTTGGAATAAAAGGTTAATGGAATATTTGAATTAACTGTGTGACTATGACGTGGAAAAATATTGAATTAAGTCATGTTTTTTTAATACAAACTCATCCCATACATCCATATGGTGGATTAAGACTTTACAACATGGCGGAAAATTGGAATGTATAAGAAAAACAGGTCATTGGCAGAAGAGAGTATAATTTTATTCTTAGAAATTGTTCAATCAAGGGATACTAAGATTAACTTCAGAGAAAATAAAGAACATTATAAAGAACAAGGCTTCCTAGGCAAAAAAAAATATACGATGTCCTTAACCAATCAATTTTAAGCACTTTATTTGTAACTAAATCTCGAAGTATTGATTAGAGGATCCGAATTCCATTTCCAATGGAAAACAAGAAGATGATCGCCATTCCACGAGTTCACCCTAATCCTTTAGGTTGTTACAGTTCAACAAACTATAGCCAATTGATCATTAACTCTTAAGCGCCATTTAATTAAAAAAGGGCATAAATCATTTTTCTGAATAAAACTCCACCAACATGTGCAGTTATGACAGAATTTTTATAATAGCACGCACTCAAAAAGATTAAATATATTTATAAAATCATAAACCATGTGTTAACTCACAAGGTGTCAAAAACTGACGTATGTTTCCGATCCCTCAAGGTTGCATTTAAAACTTCATAAAATGAAATCCTGAATAATTTCCCTTGTCTCTACATCATAATGAAACCGTTCTGGGACTTTATACTTCCTCGTATTGAATTTTGAATGACGAACGGATCCCGGCCTTCATGAATACTTTCCTCAAAGATACGTATCCTTAATGAGGTAAATTATTATTGAGATTTCATTTGATATAAAGATACAAATGGAATTATTCTCCTTAAAATCAATAGTAGAGTCATAAACCTAACTTGAGATGAGAGTTATTAGTTTTTTCGGCTTTGCACAAGCGACGTTCTGGGGATCCTTTGACAAAAAGGACACCTTTGTCTGTGGGTCAAAGAAGTGGCCACTTATGCAAGAATGTTTAAGTGATACTAAATTGCTATCACCATTGGGGACATAAAATTATAAAATGTGTACGTGAAACACGTGTGAAGCGTCTCTGTGTGCATGGCAGCTCAAGTCCAATGTTTAAGCTTTTCAAATGTAGGTCAAACTCAAAGGTCAAAAGTTAAAGAATGTTATAATTCCCTAAGAAATGTCTTTTACATGCAATACACGTTAAAATTTGTATAAAAATTATATTTGAAATACAATACACCGAGCACAAGCCATTCAAATAATAACAAGATGTGTTTGTGAAACACTATGCGCCCGTCAGCAACAAAGTTCTAAAAAGCAATTTTTAGGAAACAGGTCACAGACAAGGTCAAACGATCATTATCTTTGGTGTCATTTGAAAGAACTTAATTAGTGGAGTAACCATACCAAATATAAAGTCTCTATCCCCTATGGTTCAAAAGTTATGGCGAAAGTTCGAAAAAGCTATTTTTAGCATATAGGCCATCGTCAAGGTCACAAGGTCATTGACCTTGGTGTCAATTGAAAGTGCTTAATTAGTAGAGTATGCATGCCAAATATGAAGTCTCTATCTCTCACGGTTCAAAAGTTATGGCGAAGGTTAAAGTTGACATCAGACAGACAAACAGATAAACAGACAAACGGACAGACAGGACAAAAACAATATACGCCCCGAATAAATTCGGGCGCATAAAAAGAATTAAGTGAAATATTATATTGAAATATTATAGCCATCGGATCACCGTTTAAAAGTCAGATACAGGAGGTCAGTTTTTCAAATATATAGGCCGAACTCCAAGATCAAGGTCGGATAGTAAAAAAATATTGGTACCAAAACGTATTGTCACAGGGAATACACGATATACATGAAAGTGCTAGCTATATTCGTTTAAGAGTATGACAAAAGCATTTTTTTCGAGGACAGTGGGAGTCAAAGATCAAGGCAAACATTAAGGTAAAAAATGCTGTTTCACAAGAAAAGTTGTGGACAATTGGAATATACATGTGAAATATCAAAGCCGTAGCACCAACCATTTTGGGCATTGTTAAAGGGTTTTTTTTAGGACAAACGATTAACAAAGAAATAGACGGACAGACTTCAAACTATTAGTATATGCACCCGAATCTACGATTACAGGTTAAAATAGAATATTTTTTTTATAGTATAAAATCGTACACAAGATGGTATTCAAACTCAAGCTTGCATTCAATGTAAAATTTGATTTGTTATGATTTAAACAGCTGTCAGCTCTTTCTTTTAAAAATCTATATATACAAAAAAATAATAAAGAATTTAAGATATTATTACCATACCTGTATACTAGTATTCTATTTTGCAATTAGATATACGACAAGCGATCTTGGCTTTGAAAAGTCCAATAAAAAGCGGAAAGTTCATCAAAAAAATAAATCAATAAACAAAAGTATATGGAAGATAGCAATTTCCACAAGACAATGCTGTATTACCATTTTCCTACACGTTTCATTATTTTATTCCTGATATTAATCAAGTTTTAACAAAGCAAAAGATAATTATCTGCATCTTAACATTGCTTATTGGGCTTTGGAAATATGGGTGCCTTCTTAAACTCTTAAAAAATCGAAAAGAAATGCAATGTGCGATACTGTATTGTTATCAACAAATGACAGAACGTTTTGTTTAGTATAAAAAACTACATTCTCTTCTCATCAAACCTTAAGTCAGGTGAAGCAGTGGACCAAGAAACCATTTTCATATGAAAGGTTTACAAAAAGATTCTCTGCATGGGAGCAAAGTCGAACAAATTAAGGCAAGCTCCCGACAGATGAAATATATAGAGATAACAAACAGTATTC